GCCATGTAATCGTGGAAAGCCCGCAGTCGCAATTTTCCCGTGCCACTGCCTTTAAATTCAAAATTTATTCTGAATCTGATGAATACAAGGAAAAAAGCATGGGAGTGTTAATCCCTATTAGGAAAATCAACAGACCTCGGTCCAGCTTCATCCATAAGTCTTCTCTGATGCATCCCATTGAACGCTGGCACATTATTTGGTTGAGGCTGTGGATTGAAGAATGGTGTACGAGAAGCACCATAACCCGTCAAAGCGCTGCCTGGTGCCAAACTCATGTTTTGTATGCCATTCATTGCACTTCCTGAACCAAAACTTCATTTGCTGAAAACCCTGAGGATGCAACGACACCCACCAAAGAATGTTGGACTGTTGCCAAGCGTAGGGGTTTGCGGATTGGACTGGTTGTACTGCATATACATCATGTGAGGAGCCGTTAGATTTGGCAACGCATTGGATTGACCTAAGGAAAATAGCTTCGGAATCATAAATACGAAAAAAAAAACTATATGACGAACCAGGGAAGGGCTGATCCGGACGCAGCGGACTCGTGATCTGCTGCCCACCAATCGACAAGTTCGACAGACTATTCGTAACGCCCAGCATAGGATTCTGATACGGAAATGGGGGTGATGTAGAAAACATATTCGTTGAAACCGTTCCTGGACCTCCAATCGGCATTCCTGGAAAACCTGCAGTGAAGTACACATATTCACTTTAGAAATGACGATAGAAGCTGCAACCACCTCCACCCTTCTTCAGGCAATCATCGCTCGTTGATGTTGTAGGCGCTTGATGTGGTGGATACATCCCACTCCATGCTCCATAGCCAAATCCTGGCGCAGCTGGAGAACCAGAACCAAATGGCATCGTCGTATTTCCACCAATGACATGACCACCTTGGAATAGAAACGGCGCCATCTGAAAGAAAATTCACGTGCGGAAAAACAAAAAGAAAAAAGAAACAAGGAACAAAGTCTTTGCAAAATAGATAAGTGTTTTGGTATGATTTGAAAAACCACGCATTTTACTTTGAAGGCAGCGGCTCGGCAGAATTTCCTTCTCCAGTTTTTTACCTTTTCGGGACCTTCTCGCCATGA